TTTTTTTTTTTTTTTTTTGCTGATTTATCGTTTGTTTTTAAAGAAGAGGGATTTATGTTGTTCATAAAATGATGATTTATCATAATTGTTGTGTGAAAGTGTAATTGTTGTGTTTATGTCATTCTTTTAAGATTTTATGCTGTTGATGTGATTTTTACCAACGAAGAAGAGAAAAGAAATAATAAAATATGCCTTATCGATTTAAAAGCTGTTTGATAATTTAATTGAATTTCATCTGAGATTCTGGTGCATGAGAAGCGATCATTTCTAGTTCCACTTCTTCCTCACTGACGCTGTGATCGCGGACGTAGACAGGCTTGTCGACTGCAATATAGGGTAGCATATGTGCATATCTGTTTTTTTAACAGTGTTTTGCTTTAATTCACTAATGTCGTTCTGCAGCGGCATTTTTTAGTAATAAACATTTCATTGTTGATTATGAACCGCCAACTGCTTTTTTAATGGAGATCAATTAGTGAGGGAGGGAACTGAACAGCTGCAGAGTTATTGTGAAACTTGATAATCTGGTTTTTTAAATTTATGTTTCGAAAAGGAGAAACAGATTTACTTTTTTTGTAATCTGTTGACCTAATATCAGAAAAGTTTCCTAGGTTAGAGAATGTTTCCCAACTGATACTGATGTCCATGTATCGGATGACAGTACTGCGCCCTCTAGCGTTGAGTCCTAGACGTTCACTAATTCTCCAGTAATCGTCAATTTCCTTCCTGGTGATGAGATTTTTGTGATCTGTACAGCTCAACAGTCTAAATCGATGAGTCATTTTCGGATCAACGTCATTGTCGATTTTCCACCATTTAAAAAGGATCTGAAAGTTGATAAACAAATAATTGCTACATTACAGTTATTGAGTTTATAATTGTTAATTTGAATTTTAAAGGATAAAATAACAGGTTTGAAAAGAGTAAATAAGGCAAAGGTATTTTTGATTCTATGATTTCAGTTTTGCTCGTAGTGGTTTGTGTGGTAAATGCCCTTAGGTCGCAGCTTCTTCCCGACTACAAATTTTCCTAGTTTACTTCAAATTTGGATTTCCAGAGTTTATCAGCCATCTGTGTGGGATGCTTTGGATGAAGTTTATAAAAGTTATCAGTATAGATAACCACAAAAACTATTCGTGAAATAAGAAGCAATTTTTATTCAAGCTGTTACAGTGAATTAACTCTTATAAGTGAAGTAGAAATGAGAAGTTTTATAGATTATTTTTAGTGCTTTTTTGTTGCTAAAACACTCTCAGTTTTATTATTGCCATCTATTAATTTCATTTTAGTTGGAGCATCCGTTTTTATTTCTTTCCTATGTCTGCTCTGTTTAGTTTCAAAAATGTTGCTGTCTGATTATCGCGCATTTATGCTGCGAATCCATCAAAAAACAACCTGCTATTTCTGTTCATATCAGATTACTTTTTCTGTTCTTTTTAGACTTAACCATAGGTTGAAGGCTTTATAGTATCGAGAAGTTTAGGCTTTCATTAATTTGTCGCCATTTTTCTTCCTAGTCTTACAGCATCATATTATCAATGATATGGATTTTTAGGGACTTTAATTGTGGAGAAAAAGGCTATACGAAACGATTAACTTACATAAACAGATAGTTGTCGATTTGGTAGAATACGGCCCATTACTGGTTTACAGCAGAAGAGACGTACATTATTTGTTTGAAATTTGAATATCACTGGATATTTGCTTGAATTAAGTAACGTTGTCTGTAACTGTTGATCAGTGATATTGATCATAAAGAAAATGAAAAGTGCAATTGTTGATATACACGGTACAGCAGTATCATTAATGTTCAAATCAAATTTAGTAATTCAATAAAACATATCAAATACGATTAGGTAACTTTGGCAATAATCTGTAATTATAGCTAGATGCTTTAAAAGTAATAATGATTAAATATGGCAACTAAATTGAACAAAATTTTCTGACCTGATGAACATTATGATTGTAGAAGGAAATTGTTGGACCGGGCAATACGACCAAAGTCATCAGGTGTTGGGGATTTTCAAATGCAGTTTAGAGGTTTGGCAATTTTTAGTGCTGTTATGTTATTTGTTGAACAATTGCTGTGCTGTATGTTCGCAGATATGTATAAACATTAACAAATAAATATTTTCACAATATGATATTTGCTTTAAAATTACATGGAATTTTTTTTTT